AGCTTACTGTTCTCAATACCTTTATTTTGAAAACCTGAAGTGAATACGCTGTTTCTCCGCAATTACCATAATGCTGAGAATACTTGTACACTCCTTAAAAAAGGAGGCTGTGCGCTGTTTAGGCAACAGTATACGGTATAGTGAAACAACGTCACTTTATGTGGTCCTTTGAGTTGACTTTGTACAGTAATGTCCAGTGAAACCATTTGAAACGATATATGTGGTCACAGTCAAGAACATAAGTATAGTTGATTTCTTTTCATTCGGATAAGGCGCTGTGGAGAAGACACGTTGCTGTTATGGCGCACTCTCTGTGCGCAGCGCGAAGAGAGTGCAGGTTTTTATTTCAACCTAGGAAACACATTAAGTCCAGGTGGAGGGTGTCAGAAACTCTTTATGGATTCCTTATCCAAAAATCTACAATGCGCACCATATTCTGTGTGTGTTTTAGGTTTCGTTTTCCGCAGAAAGCCACACCTTACAGCTCTAATAAATGCTGGAAATAGAAACTAAACTGTTGCACTCGATCTTGGACAAGTCAAGGTAAGTTTGTCCTGCCGTAGCCTAAATAGTCTAACTGCCACAGCTCGAATAAATAACTCTCTATTATGGCTGTATATTAATAATGCCTAACTCTGCTGTGTGTCTTTATTAGATGGATGCATTATTCCACCTACTTGAGCAGCACAGACTGCAGTCTCACTACAGGAAATTTTGTGATGTTGGTGTGAAAGATGAAAGAGATTTCCTTGATGTCACAGATGAAGACTTGAACACCATCGGTAAGGTTACTGATTGCATTTTCTGTTTTTGATGTCACTAAACATGAAATCAAATATAATCAGTGTGAGTTATTGCTATGTGTAGGAAAGATGTTTCCATGTTTCCTATTCACCTTAAAAGGCAACCAGCAAATATTTACATGACATGAGTTATGCAAATATTAACTTTGTTAACTTTGGTCCACAAGCCTAAATAACACAAAGTCATGTAGGAAGAAAGAAAGAACTGGCAGGTAGTAAATGGAAAAAAAAGAGTGAGCATAAGGAAAACAGGTTGTTGATCAGGGAACTTTAATGAGTCATAACTCAGTGTAGCACACTTAATGAGGATTGTCTCATGTGTCTTGGTTTGATTTTCCAAACAACTATTGGAGCTTTGCAGTATCTCCACTAGAGCTGCACAATTAATCGAAATATTATCAAAATATATATGGCCAAGTGCAATATCCAAATCACAGCAGCTGTAAAATGTGTGACAAACAGCATTATACTGTAGTGCTGCAGGGATTCCCTGTTGTATGTACAAATCATGTTTTCCAAATATAAGAAAACATGTTTGTTTGATA